TTGGAAATTCCTCAAAGGTGGCATTCCACAGGGAACAAAACTTGGTGTTATCTTGTTCACGGTAATGACTAACAACCTTCTGAAGGAGTGGAACATGCGAATTAAATTTGTTGATCATGATGATACCACAGCTGTCGAAATGTTACCTAGGAACAGTTCCAGCCTACTCAATCTAGTTGCTAATGACATTTTCGATTTTTCAAGTGACCACAATGAGTCTAATTTGGCAGGGTTTTTTTGTTCAAATTAACTTCAACTAAAGGGTTCAGTATGGATAGGCTTGAGCCTGAAATGGGAGATGGGAATAGTGAAGTCAGAAATAGGGTATAGATTAGTGGGTCAGGGCTGTAATAGACTAAGGGAAATCATATGCCTGGGTCTAAAATGAGGTAAGAGTTGTAAGAAGCACGCCGCACATCTGCACCCAAATTTTAGGGAACGACAACCTCCCAACCAACCTTGCTGTTCCCGAACGTCTGTACCTGTTTAAAAATGCACAAAAACAGTCTAATACGTATAAGAAGGGTGGTGGATCATAAAGACACAACACTAATTTTTTTAAAATATTAGGGTAGAAAATTTTTGTCATCGCGATTACAAAAAATGTTATGTGCCTTTATCAAGTTATAACAATACGTTTTTTAACCAGTCAGCGCGCGCTTTTTCTTTGGGTTATTTCTGGAATAAATGTACAGTTGCTACCCGTAAGTGTTTGTCATAATTATAATTAACACTAGATTGGCAATGTTTAAAAGTCTGCTCAAATTATGTTTGTTCTATCGACAGACAAGATGAACAAAACATTTTTGCAGGAAGCGAAACAGTAGAGTTGCTTAGGAAGAAAATGGCAGAAAAGGATGAGAGGTAACTGCAGAGCTTGCGTTTTTTTTTTCTATATATATATATTTTTTTTGAAGAAGTGCGTCGCCACCGTGCTCTAGTAAAAAAATATTTCAATAAATGTTCCAGCAATGATCCCTCTCAGACAGGTTGAGAAAATTCAACATGCTTAAGGAAATGAAAACTATGCTGTGCAAAGTTTGATGATACACATGCAAACATTTCTGAGTTGTTACTGNTTACACTTGAACTGCACTGCTCTTAGCCTATCAGAATCGAGTAATTTTTTCATGTGTATTATTATCCATTAAACGAACAAACCAGGCTTTAGTCACGAGGCTCATTTAATGTACAGCAGCTAGTGCACCCATTCATTAACGACAACTTGTCTTTACAATCATTCGATTACAGCCTAAACATGGTATCCAAGACAAAGGAAGAAAATGAGGAATTAAAGAAAAAAATTAGAGAATATGAGCGTCAGCTTCGGGAGAGTTCCAATTCCAGTGGAAAATACTCACAAGATACAGGAAGGTAAGCATGTAAACTGTAACATTATTTTTATGTGTACGATCCATAGTTCGTACAGTTATTTTAACTGAGTTTTGGAGAGATCACAGAAAAGCCCCACGTAACTCTAAAT